TCTTCCACTATGCCTCCAAGTATGCTTGACACCCCAGCGACCAGCGCCAACGGCAATGCAACCGCATCCAACACGGCACCAGCTTTTCTCGACACCACCCCAGGCCCAGACTATGACTGGAAAGTGTCCTTGAAGGGAAAAGTAATTGGAATTACCGGAGGCAACAGGGGTATTGGGCTGGCTCTCGCACAAGTGTGTCTCGCCAACGACGCAGAGGCTATACATAGCTTAGACATCTTTGAGCCCGGCGAGGAATTCGCTGCCCTTCAAAAAGCTCATCCCAAGCGACTTCACTACGTCCACTGTGATGTGACATCCGAGGAGAGCGTCAACACTGCCATCGACGCTGTCATCGCCGCACAAGGTGCCATCCACGGTTTCATTGCCAATGCCGGCATGACGAAACACCAGCCTGCCTTCGACTTCAGTCGCGCCCAGATCGATCAATTGTTCAACTTGAACGTCTACGGCGCTTACTTCTGCGCTACTACTGTCGCTCGTCGTTTCATCGACCTCGGAATTAAGGGGTCTATTGTCTTCACGGCTTCGATGACTTCCTATCGCCCCAACCGTGCAGCTCCTTCCGCTCCCTATGGAGCCACCAAGGGTGCCGTGCGGAACATGACACACACACTGGCCATGGAGTGGGCCAAGCATGGGATTCGCGTCAACTCGGTATCGCCAGGGTTCATCAAGACGGCCATGACTTACTTTGTGGATCAAGCCCCGGACTGGGATCTCAAGATGCAGTATTATGGCGGTATGCCCAGGTTGGCGGATCCCAAGGAGCTGGGCGGAGCTTATGTATATTTGCTTTCTGACGGTGCGTCATATACGACGGGCATTGATATTCCCGTGGCGGGCATTGTGGGGGCGTGGTAGAACTTAGACTCATAGAGATAAACTCAAAAACATACTTTATGCATTGTGCGATCGTTGTACCTTGGAATGTTTTGATTGAAATGACCAAGAAATTCATTGTAGTCTTTGAATTTCTTTCATAAGATACATGTGCTGGTATTGGCACTGTGAAATACATCATATTATATACAAACATCTTCCATCCCTGGTCGGGACTTCACTCCTGCCACACCCTCTGCAGTCGCGCAACAAGACCTTTGGCGGGAAACTTACTTATCCGTAACATGTTGTCCAAAATGCGTAGCAGCTCCTCTCGCATCTCCGGCGACCGAACAAACTGGCCAACTTGTACGATGTTAGTCTTGAAACAGAACAGGATGGGTGTGACTTACCTCCAAATAACGCCTGGACATTGATGAATGCCATCGCGCAGTCATGCTCCTGGCACGAATTGGCAATCCCACAGACCATTTTGACACTTTCCGTCAGCTGCTTATCACGAAGCAGGTAGGCATTAAGTCCGCCCAGTGTGGGCTGGTTCAGCAGGACTGTCGCCTTGGCGAAATGATACATCTGCATGGCACCTGCATGATTTCGCGGATGGATCCATATCGGAGGAAAGACGACGCTTGAACCACCACCCCCAGCAACTGCCACGGGCTGGTACGATGCGGGCAGGATATGATACCACTCGTCGAGCGCACTCCGGAGTCGGTCACCCTGCTCAATTCGTTCTCTCGGATCCTGGTGTGGCGGGATTGCAGCCGAAGCGGCATATTTCACACACTTCCCGCAAAGGTAGACAATTCGTGTAGCTAGCTCGTCCGAGCTGAGTTCCTCGAGAGGTTTGCGTGCACGCCAGAAGGTGATGGTGGGCCGGCCCGCCTGAAAGGCTGCCCAAATGTCTTGTCGCAACCAAGCCCACCATACGGCCTGTCGCAGACCATCGGCCGACTCGCCATCATTATCCTGAGACCGCTGGATCCAGAAGGAGCCGCGCAGATGCTGCTCCCAGACACTGCTATTCGCAGCGCTGTCCGCATCAAACATTTCATATGTGCTAATCATGGTGGCTGTCGCCAAGATCTCGTGGGAGTCGGCATAAGATGGATACAGTAGTGTTTGTGAGAGATAGTGAAGGGTTTCGTAGTAGTACTGGGTCGCCATGTGGGTTGGAGCAGAGTCTGATTCGGTCGACAGAACGGTTCCGGGCAATGAAGCTGGGCTACCTGCTACATGGCCATCTGCTGCATCTCCATCCCCTCTATGCTGAAGACACAGAGACATGTGCTTGGCGCCCACTGCAAGGATAGACTTCAAGAGCCCCGTGTTTCGTAGTGCCAGATGGGGCACAACATTACTGAAATGGTGAGCGGGATCAAACAAGTCTAGAATGGGCCCAACCACCTCGATATAGTACTGAAAGAAGGTGAGGTCGGTTGGCGATAGTTCTAGCCTACTTGTGGTGTTCCACGGCTGGGATAACTGCTGATAATCTGGTAAGGGTGATCCAGTGTGGCCGTCTCCATGGGTCAGAGGGTGTCCTTGCTGCTCATTGTACCTCGCCTCCTGCTGAAGTCGAGCCCCGGGATGTTCAGGGGTGGGTGACTGCCTACGAGAGAGTGCAATCTCAGGAAATCGCCATCTGGGGTCGCCGCTTGACGTATCATTCAATCGTTGGATGTGGTTGATGGCATCCCGCGCTAGCAAGTCGTACCACTCGAAGGGGGAGATATTCAGCAGGGAGATTTGACTTAGCGAAACTGGAGACGTTGGGAACGCAGGGTCAAGGCTAGGCAATCTTTGCTCATTGTGTTCATGCAAGGGGTCGAAGTGCGGCGACTCGATTGAGCCGTCTGGATGCAGTGGTACAGCGGCCTCAGGGATGGCCGGGGCGGTCGGATGAGACGTCAATGCTGCCGCAACATTCGAGTGATGTTCTTGGGGCCTCGGCGAGTTCTTCTCGACAGCATATGGATTGCTTGCCCTGTTGTCCTCAGCACGGATCTCCTGGCGACCCGTCCCTTTGGGACTCGAATGCGCCCTTGTGGGCTCCCGGTCGGCCGCGGGGGGAGCTGCAGCTGTAGCTGCATGTCTCTGATCAGAGTGCTGTGTCGCGTCCGAGGCATACCGGCAGATGCGAGCAGACTTGGAGCACCGCAAGCAGGTCGGCTTACCGTCATCGCACTTGACGCGTCTCTCTCTGCAGGTAAGGCTGTCTGGTGTGTAAGCGAGCTTGATGTTCGCTTAGGTGCCATTGTGAAGATGGCAGAGCAGTTAACCAACCAAGAGAGGGTCCACCTACCATCCTGTCTTTGTTCTCAATCCACGTGAGCGTGAGGGTCTGATGCGTCGACGCGACTTCCCCGTGGCGCTGCCCCTCGTCGTTGAGCGTTGCGATGATGAGTTGCCACCGACATTCATGGGGGATGCATTCTTCCCACTATGGAGTAGCACTTTTGGAGTTGAGGGAGTGGCTTTCGTCTCGAGGGCCTCCCGTCCGTTAAATACCCGCTCGTTACCCGTTACCGTTCTTACCCCGCGTTTGGTTTGCCCCACTTCGATGTACGTATTGCAAAAAATAAGTATTTAGTTGAGGGAGAAAAGCGAGATTCAGAATAGCGATAAGATACTCTTCAACAACATAAATTGTCGTATAAACACAAGGTTGACGGCTAGCCAAGTTATATAGCAACTCTGTTTTTCATCAATGGCCCTTAGCGTGAGGAGCAGCTTTCGGGCTGAAAAATATATAGAGTATGGACATTGAGTTTACCCTGGGGAGTGCCGACAAGGCATTCTATGGAGCAGAAGTAGGCCACCGTCTGTATAGACATGCAAGTATAGTAGGGGACCTCACATCCAGTTCCTTTACAGCTCTATGCCTGAGCAGCGTAGCCCAAGATCTACCATTTGATGGAAATATTCCGAACCCGCTAAAGTGCGAATAGTGGGCCTTGGAACCGCCGTGAAAGGCGTATATGAGCGCATAAAAAGCCGTCTTTTTGGCCGATGCATAAGGCATAGTGTATTATCTCCTTTATAATATTCACACAAGTTTCCAAATTCATTCTCGTGTTTGTCTGCTGGACCCCGCAAGAGGGCTATAGTGGTCATTTCGTATAAATCTTGCCGTCCCACTGAGTACACCTGGAAAATGCTAGTGGATGACGTTTTGTTGCCCAATAAACGTGGATTCCCTACGTAGGTGCTTGTTGAAGGGTTCGGAAGCTCGGCTCAGTTTCGCCCAGTTTACTATGTACGATCTCAGGAAGATCATGCCACCGTCTCGTGAGGTCTTGTAGAATGCAGACTTTGAGTTCCTTCTTTATGTGCGTTAAATTCAATGTGAGATATAAAAGGGTATTAAGCAGAAGGTGCTGCGGATCTACGGTGGATATATCGAGTTGGCGGATGATCATGCATAGGGAGAACGAGAGAAATGGCCTCACCGAAGTTTCTCCATTGCAGGTGCATGTCGTTGGTTTGGTTATAACTACCGTGTAGCTTCTAGCCAACATTTGTCGTGGTAATGATAAAACTGAATTTTATACAAGGTCACTTATGGCATCAATTGGGCTAATGCTGCGTGGCGGCAACCATCGCAGGGCAACAAAAATTTCGGGGCGAGCGGCGATGTGCCAATAATCCCCTTACAGAAACCAGCCAGATGACGGGGTTTCAGCCACTACTGCTGATTTGAATTCACAAGAAGGGTTTTGGAAAAGGGGCAAATCATCTTTTACTGTGACCGGCATACCCGCATTTATCACCGTAACCCTGGATGTCACTAATATTAATTTCGGAAAGTCACAGTCGCTAGTAAAAGTAAGCATGTTGCTACCTTCGCCGTCAGCCCTGCGAATAGCGTTTGGTCATTGAGCCAGGGATGCGCCAACCAACCAATCAAATTCTACGTGCTCGGCGGGGGGCAAAGGGACATTCATAGTACATATTGCACGCAACGATACACCTTCACCCACGTAGTAGAACTCACCACAAACTACTAGCGTTGTACGTAGTGGTGTTTGATTTTCGTCTTTGTCAAATGTGTATTGACAATTGATTAGTATTCTAGTTCATATTTGCCCTCCTAGGATTAAAATAACTTGCCGTGACATGATGTATGTAGCCCGTCGTCACATAATTGTCCCCACATGAGGTGAAAGCTCGGCCTGAATCCACCTGAACATTCGCTCCTGGAGATCATCGTCGCGGATCAATTTGGATCCATTTTCGGTCTTGCCAATAGGGCCGTAGTACTGCCCGTGCTCCGCTTCTGGGCTAACGGCCGCAGAGACTTAAGAGAGCGCCCTTCTTTCCACCGGTGTTGCAGCAAAGTGAACCGCAGCGTGGAGGAAGGGTCTAGGGAAGATGCCAGTGGACGAATGATGGAGATTGGTTGCTACCATCCCGGGATGAACCGAGATAATCTTCACCTTTGTTTCCCTCTCAGCCAACGCTCTAGCATAATGGAGATTGGCGAGCTTGGACGTGGTGTAGCGCTGAGTAGTGCGGCGGTTAGCAGCGTTCGTGCGATGTTCATCGAAGTTGTACAAATCACTGGGCGCCTTGGCATGTGCAGCCGAGGAGAGCATAACCATGCGAGTTTGGCTATTGACCTCTGCCATCTTGCGCAGAGTGGGCAGCAGAAGTTGGGTGAACAAAGCAGGACCCAGCACATTTATGCCGAGTTGGGTTTCGTATCCGTCCGTGGTGACATCTTCTGGAGTCATCATTATACCAGCGTTGTTTATGAGGATGTCAAGGCGCGTCTCTTGACGAAGGAAGTCTGCGGCAGCTTTGACGCTCTCAAACGAAGCCAGATCCAATTGGAGGAATCGGATCTCGGTGTGTCCTGGATTTTCCTGATTAAGCTGGGTCATTGCTTCAATGTTCGGCTTTGGTTCTAGATCGAGAAGCGAGATAGATGCGACCTGGGTTGTTCTTGTCGAGCTGGCGGATGGTTTCGTACCCTAGACCCGCATTGCCTCCAGTGACAATAATGACCTGGCCGTGAAGGTCAGGAATGTCCCGGCTGCTGAACGTAGGCATCTTGTTATCAAGGCAGGTTTCACTCTCAGTTTTGTAAATACAAAGGCCAGGCTGATGCAAAATAGAGGCCTGCAAGATAGACCTGGGGAAACAAGAGGGAGTAGCCTAATAACAAGACTGGGATCGAAATCGCTGATTGAATGAGAAAATTGAGCCCTTATGTATTTTCAAAGTGCTCTGCCCAAGGTTGACGAAGATCTTCAACCGACACGTTCTGGTGAGTCTGTTCCCGTTGCCATCCAGAAGAGTTAGTCTGATGCTTCTTGGCTTCAATCATTGGTTGAGAAACCGTCACCAGGCTGTACAGTATGGTACTTTTGGTAGTCATACTAGACCCACTTTCATGATGAAACAATGATCTGTAGTGCGGTAATTGGCTATAAGTCCGTCATCCGTGGTCCACCCGCCGCGCATACCACTGCGATTGGAGGACAAGTTGATCTCAACAATAGCGTTTTAGCGCAAAGGAAATATGTTATGAACGGTATGAACACAGGCATTTTACTAGATTCTTGTTCAGGATTCTCAGGGGTGGCTTCAACAATTTCCCTCAATCGTAGAGGTCTTGGCGCTGGTAGGCAGGTATATAAAGCACATAAAGTACCTCTAGCTATACCCACTTGGGCTTTTAGGTATCCTACCAGATTCAAGGGAGTTCAGTATTCCAATCGCGACGGTAAGAGAAGTAGGAGACATGTCCCATATTCAGATTGAACCACTTCTAACCTTCAATCATGCCTTCATGTCCCGCCTCGGTCAATGCTCTCTGAGGTCTGTAGCTTTCCCTAAGATCTGGATGCTTTCATTACCCTCTGGCCTCAGTAAAGGCCAGCTAGGTGGGACTGCTGCCATAGTTGCGCTCACCAATAGTTTCATCGTGTCGTCGAGCTCTTTATGGAATATGCCTCTGAGAACCTACTGTGAGACAAACGGTGGGATACTACACCAGTAAGCGCTTCACCAATAGGGATTTGGCCATCCAACAGCCCATCAAGATATGCATTTGAAATAGTTGAAGGATTTGAGACATCCACTGCATTATAAGCTCAGCAAGAGTTGTTTCTTTACTGGCATTTGTTGCGAATGATGGCAGTGCTTCTGGAGACTAACCGGCAACCCAGCGTTGAGTCCTGCGAGAGTTATTTGGACATAATCAAATCGCAGGAGTGAAGTAGATTTAGTAATATATATAGTAGGTATGTTGGCTCTGCTAGATCTACACGCAGCAATACAGGCCTGCAACCTTGGACGCGAAAAAGAAAAGCCTCGCGGAATCCTGCACTAAATTTGACGGGGCCGAACAGATCACGCCTGCGAAATGTGACTGAGGAGCAACTACGGACTAACTCTTACACATGTTTTCGCCTTGGCAGTACGACTAATGTAGGTTTTATCACATACAATTCTATTTTTGGTTCATCTAGAAATGTAACCCTGATCGGGTTTCTCAGCAAGCAGCTACAAGGGCGCCCGCCTGGGACGACAGGACAGTGTGGGGTTGTCCAAGCCCAGCCACCTGAGCAGGGCCCATCAACAACCTTGTCAGTGGGCGCTTCCAGCCGTCCCAGCAAATGTAACTGATCGCACAAATATGCCCGGCGTAATCAAAAATCGTGCTCATACTACATGCCATTTTGGTGCGGGATTGGCTTTCCATATTCCACATCGCTTCCATGGTTCGCGTTATTGTACGGCCAGAGGAAACTGTCTAACCGCTCATGTTCATGACCGGACGCAATTCAGTGAATGTGAACTCCAGCAACCCATGTTTCTGTTTGACCTTTCATTGAAAAACCATGAAACCGTCATGTGTAAACAGGATTCTCCTACGCTGCCGCAATAGCACCAGCTGTGCGGGGAGCAGACCCCGCCCGTGATGCAGATTCAGCTGGCGCTGGCAACACTAGTGATGCGGTGTCGGGTTCCTTTTTACTCTCCGCAGCCCTAGCAGTATCTGGGTAAAAAAGGAAGGTTGGCTGAAGGATCAACTAGCTGTTACTCTGAAGATCGCATTGGCTGAACCTCAGCTCCCGCAGCTATACTGATAAAAACTCTTATTTTGTCAAGGGATTCTCAGCAGCTTCAACCACAGTCCAAGTCGAAGTTAGGAATCTTTGTTGCATTGCCTGTGTTACTTGCCTGTGTTACAATAGTTAATATACCCTATCGCCATCCCGTCTCAAAGGCCATGCTTGACGGTCTTCAATTAGTTCACCCTGGTTGCATTAGCCTTGGTTGATCCGCCAGCATCATGCATTCTCCGTCACCTGTGGCTCGTCAAGTACTCTCTACAAGCTCTTGTGATAGAACCAAGTCTAACGCTTGACATCCCTGTTAAGGCCGGTTGAGGAGCAGCTCAGCTGCAAATACGAAGTCTCACCTCTATTTAGCATCATGCACAAAGCCAGCGTGCGGGGTTCTTTCAAGGGCGGCAGGCCCAGTGAACTGCTCGAGGGTAGGGTTATTTAATGTCCAACCCAAGAAGACTTACTCCCTCCTCTTGCATATCGCGTTCCTGTGCGCGTTCGAACGTTATACGTGTTCTGACTACTAGTACTATCTTACACAATGTCCATTGGTCGTGGAGAAGGTACGAGACTAATCGTCGCGTCCGTCATACTCTGGACCCTGAGTACGATTGCCATACTACTGCGAGTGATTTCGATTCGAGTTCGCAAGACCGGCTGGAAGAACCATGATTATTTGACCGCCTTGGCGCTGGTATGCTGCCTCCTCCCTCCCTGTGCCTCAAGACTGCCGCTTCTACCTCACCAAAATATCTTAGAGATATTAACAAATCATTTCCGCAGTTTGGTCTCACCGGCTTTGTGATAGACGACCTGGTTGGTACGGCACTCCTCAGGATTACTCTCAAAATTATTGCTTGCCGATTGTTGACTAATATAGCCTAGGGGTTTTGGCGGGAGCATATGGCTGGAACATCACCAGCGTCCCTATGGACAAATTGACGATTTCTTTGAAAGTCTTATTTTCATCGCAATGGTTCTTCTGTCTAGCGGTAGCAGCCTTTCGTCTGGCCATTCTGTGTCTGTACCTGGAACTATTCCGGGGCGACTGGTTCCGCCGGTGCACAATCGCAACAATAGCGCTGGTTACGCTCTACTGGATCGCATCGGTGTTGACTATCGCTCTCCTCTGCCGGCCTATAAATGCCAACTGGGATATCACCATCAGTAGGACATGCGGAGACATAACCAAGGTGGAATTTGCCTCAGGGAGCTTCAATCTCACGGTCGACCTGTTGATCGTTTCGTTACCGATGCCGGTTGTGTGGGGCTTGAACATGCCCAAGGAGAAGAAAATTGGTGTCACTACGGCCTTTCTACTGGGTTTGATGTAAGTACTGCTGTTAGCTTTGATTAGCCGTCCACCTTGCCTCTACATTGCTTTTCGTTTCGACACAGACTCTCATGGGAATTGACCTAACGCCAAGTATAGAACGGCTGGTGTGAACATTGAACGGATCATCCAAACCAAGACATGCGACGGGGCCAACATAACATATTGCGCACTGGATGCGTCGATACTGTGCATGGCTGAAATCACCTGCGGCATTATGGTTTCCTGTGCACCGACCTTGGGCCCGCTCTTCTTCCGGTCGCGCGTCCAGATCGCAAAGCCTCCCGAGGTGGCTCGGCGAGGCCTCCGAACCTTTGGGTCTATTGGGCGATCTTTGTCACGTCGGAAGCAGCGTGTTGATACTGTCGCGCTGCTCGGCTCACTACATGATGAGCTCGAACGGGGTGGTGAAGGCATAGGCCCCCAGCAGATGGCACATCTTCCTTCTCCAGGTGTGTTTTACCAGACCAACCCGAGTCAAATTACAATGCCAAACAGCTTGTCGGGTGTGCAAAACGTTTCTGCAGAAATGTTGGTATAGTCGAGTGGTGAGTCTTTCATTGAGATTTCCCGCTGCATATATTCATCCTGTTCATTTAGGTCGCCCATAGGGATCTTAGAATGGTACCCTTACATGCCGGTATATAAGAATGTGTCTACCAGACCTATTTGTTCTCCCTGGGAAATAATAAAATTGAATACTCGGTGGCAATGCGGCGATGATAGCAGTGTAGTGAATAGATAGTAGGCAAAACAATGTTAGAACGATCGGCAGGCTATTTTGTGCCCGTAATGTGACTGCAGTAGAGCTAAACTGGGTTGAGCATGAGCTTGTCAAACCAACAACACTCTCAAGTACCACAAATATGAACCCGAAGCTTTTTTGTGGACAAAACTTCAAGCGACAGCATAACGCTTTCCGATGTGGACTTGAAAGATGGCGAAAACGTACGACATCACGTCGCATGTTTCATTTGATTTCTTAATAAGAAAGGGCACAGCTTGTGTGTTGCCGGGTGTCTCCCCTCGCTTAAAACTTCGGTGGCTCATCACACTAAAATCTGACAGTGACAAGGCATCACGGGCTGGGCGTACCTTAATGTTGCCGCCGTCTGACTCGGCCCAAGGCTTTATCGTTTGGCGGCAGATGCAACGTACTGCATAGTCAAGACACTCCGACTTGGACTCTGAGCAGAGTGCCTAGAATTAGAGGCTGACGGGCATATACACCTATATTTATCGAAACCTCGGAATACCCTTCGTTCCTGTTCACCAGCACAGGGATTCTCATCGGGATCACCAATCGGAATCACCGGAACGGCACGGTTCCTTCGACGGGTGGCTGAATCCCCACCACTGCAGGAATCCTTCCTGGTCCATGTATTTACGTTGACAGGAGCAACGTCTCAGCTTCACAATCTGTGTTACCAACAATCACCTACTCTCGTGGTTGGGGTACGTGTGAGCGGCTGTGCCGCATTGAAGTGAGAGATATTAAAGAACGGTAGGAGCAGGTGTACCTACCTTTCGTCCGAAGCGGGCCGGCTCAAGTCGAAAGGCTGCCACTATCTATTGGTCTGGATATAACTGGTCAGCATCTGAACGCGGCCACTGGCGCCGGTCGAAGTGATGCAGCGGGACTAATACTGCCTCACCAATGTGGAAAACTCTCACGATGGGGACGGGGACATAGAGCCACACGTCGTGGGGCGGAGCGCGGAATGGTCGGGGTCAAGGCGCTTCAGCCTTCTTACCATAGCTGGTGCTGTATCCAGATTCCAGACTGCGTACTACTATGCCGACAGCTGGGCTTGCTATCGTCTCCACCGATATGATTGATTTCTGAAAGTATTCGTAGACCGAGCCATGGCCCCAACCTGAAATGTTGTGATTATCTTTCTCCTGGGCCACCCAAACTAAGAGTCAAACGTCTTGGGTGATCCCGCCTCTTATTGTCTGCTCTTGGGTAAGTTTCAGGCGTTACTCGGTCTCCCATTATGTGATTTCTATTTGCATAAAGGTGCTACCGGCAACTCAACTCTCATGGGGTCCGGGAGGTTGAGCCCCATTCCCCCGATTTGGTGATTATACCAGACGCTGCGGCTACTTTGGGGGCATCTTCCCGCCAGCGATCTGATGTACTAGTTCTTAGTTATATCAGTAGTCTCAACTCGCTAGATAAATGAATCCAATCGGACCGAACCATATGTGCTCTGGCCTGCCTCCACCAAACACGCCACGCTCACTACTAGGAGAACAGGAACAATTCAACCTTATCCGATTCTTACTGCGGAAGTTTCGTATTGGTGGGGGCCAAAACGTGCTGCAATTTAAAGGCTCCTCCGTCCGTCCTTTGTCATTGTGCGATTTGTTATATTGTTCCCTGCGCATTATATTGTTGAATCATCAATCCAGTTACATCCGCGTCGTACAACTAAACCGAACTTTTTCGAGTAACCCGGATCACTATGGCCACCAACGAGAGCGCCGAATTAGCAGTCGTCATCTGCACGGGTTCTTATCATACTCCTGCCCCCTATGAGCCCTTTCGGCAATCCCTTGAACGCAGAGGGTTTGAGGCTTATTGCCCCCAGCGCCCGACATGTGATCTCACCCAACTCAACGTGGGGGATATTAATCACCCAGACTTTGACTTGGGTCCTCCAGCTGGGGGCTATCCCACTGACTCGGACGATGTTGAGGTCATTAATCAACTTCTTGAAAAGCTCATAGTCCAAGGGGGCAAGGATGTCATCATCCTCGGCCATTCATCGGGTGGTCTCATTGCCTCTCAGGCCGCTGTCCCCGAATTACAGTACAAGTCTCGTCAAGCCAAGGGTCACAGGGGGGGTGTAATAGGGGTCTTCTTTGAAAATGCCTTTGTGATCCCTGTTGGGGAGTCAGTACATACCTTCTTCCAACCCAAGGAGGGCCCGATTGTCACGCCGCCATTCATGCGATTCCATGTAAGTTGTTTCTTCGCACATCCCTTCTTTGCAGCAACCGTGATTGACGGTAATGTTGTTAGAAACATGGAGCCGCTGGTTTGGGAACCATTGTGGAAGCCCACCGATTCATGTTCAATGACCTAGAGGCGGATGAAGCAGCCAAATGGGCCGCAACATTGACAGCATCGCCCATCAACACAGGCGTGCTGACCCATGACGTTTACTCATCGTTGCCCTGTGCATACCTAGTCTCGGATAACGATGCGACACTGCTTCCGCAATACCAAGAAGCAATGATTGCATTGCAAGCTCAGAGAGGCATCGCATTTACCGTCTATCATGCGCCTACTGGTCACTGTCCGCATCTGAGCTGGACGGAGCACTTCGTCAGCAAAGTAGAGGAGTTCGCCAAACAGTGCCGTCGACAGTGCCGTGCTTGACTACTGTAGTGTGAGACATGACATGTATATAATGTCAAACTAGAGTCTCGACTCTTCATATAGGGTATCGATTGCAGTTATCAAGGTGTCCGTGTTCGCCACGATTTGACTCAGATGCTAGCAAGATGATGCTATGTTTTCGTTCTATACCTATGCCTGACAGATATTTACTCGCTGTTGGCCCCATCACTACGATGGCAAATTATCAGATTTCTCTATCCTATTGTTATAATTGCTGTGCAAGAGTATCTCAAGCTCCCGGTAAAGATTTAGGAGCGTATATGCTGGGAGATATCTCTACTGCCTGCCAGTAACATCATATATTCAGCTCGGATATGTAAGCCTTTCGCAAATATTTTCATGGCATATAACATTGACCCGTCTCTCTCAACTGGTGCTGGATCTCCCAGCGTCGAGCGTTCCCAAAAAGGATCAAACTTCACCCTCCTAAGCCTGTTCACTCGCAGCTTCTTGTCTCTTCCTCTTCAGTACCTGGTAATATTCTTCAGTATACTCATCTGGGTCCCATGCCAATACCTTATTTTTCATCTCGGCAAGCTTCTTGACTACCAGCTGCTCCATCTCATCTCTTTGGCTTTCATCTAAGAGCTTTACCCTTTCTTTCCATGCCTCACTTACGTCGTCAGTCTCGGTGGGTCCATAATACCGTTTGTCAATCTCCAGCCAGTAAATCGCATCGAACGCAAAGCTATGCAAAACAGCATACACCACCCAGAAGTCGCCGGTCTCCCAACTCTTTTTCATTTTATCTGATAGTCGAAAGTCGCGGTGCAGACCCTCGGCATCCTCACAGTGCCGTAATGCCGAGAGAAATGTCTTGAGACGTTGACCAAATATTCGTTTCCAGTCCTCGATCCCTTCAGACCATTCGTCTGGATTTTCGATCAGAAGCCACCATGGCGGTGCTAATGAGAACTCGACCGGTGCTGCATATGTAAACTCCCAGTCCACCACACCGGTCACTCGTTTATCGTCATTTAGAAGAATATTCCCTGGTCGGAGATCATCACACCAGAGCCTGAATGGCCCACGCTCATGGCGTGCGCCGAAGAGCCTCTTTTCCTTAGCAAGTTTGTAGAATAGTTGCCTTGCAATGTACTTTCGCCGACAGTCGTCTGCAGATTCTACTGCATCGTTCCTTTGATGGATCAGATGCTGAATGTTGAGCTGTGCTAACGCTTCAATGTACGAAGACGTAGTCTTGAAAGTGGCGTCGAGTGGTGGAAGCTTTGAGCGAGGCAATGTTCCCAAACGAACGAGCTCGTTCATGTTCATTGATAACGGGCGACTGGCTATTTCCCAAGTACAGTTATCTACCTGCACAAGCGACCCTATCAAGCTGAATTCTGGCTTGGCAAGATTGAGAAGAATCTTTGCTTGTTCGGCGTAGAGCTTCCAAAGATCCTCTTCATTGATGTCTGGATTAAGATATCCTCGCTCATCCACCGGACAGCTGGGTGCATTCAATGCAGCATACATGATGGTCGTGTGTTGAATATGGCTCATCATAATGAAAGGGCTGAGTCTGAGCGGACTATCATCTCGTGTCCCAGAGTGAATAACAGAAGGGACCGGGATTGACGTCCGATTTGACAGGTATCGCATCAAAGCAATTTCGTTCCTCGTCTTTTCCTCGGGGAATATGATTGCTCCAGGTTGCGAAAAGCGGATATCAGTCGCCCCTTGCGTGTACTTCATTTGCAAGACAATGTTAAAAGAGCCAATGTCGATAATACTGAATTCGGGGTCGTCGCCAGAATCATGTGTCAGGATAAAACGCGCAATGGCTTTCTTCACTTCGATGTTAAATAATTTATTCACCCAAGTGTCCGAGATTTCGTCCGACTGCGCCCATGCCACATCGTCATAGCTCATTTGGGGCTTCATATTCGTAGATGCAAGCGGTATATTCGCTCCCTGGTGACTCCGTCAATTCGGTAGGATACTGAGTATGGGTGACAAATATTGCTTGAGCACCGCATCCGGTACAATGTACGCGAGCATTACCCGACCTCGGGAATGAACCATTTATACCATTTGCAAAGTTGAGGGTTAGGGCAATATATCAAGTAATATGCCGTCGAATAAGCCACGAGAGACAACGTTGGCAACGGAATCAGCCGTGGTTAATCTATCACAACATGACAACCTATCAGTTCAGCAAATGGCTCTGAAAATGTGCCAGATCCACGGAGTGAATCTACAGTATATACAAATAGTAATGTCAACGATCGGAGATAGCCCGGGCTATACACTATCTAAGTTATGTTACATGATCAGAAATCCGGCAATACTTGAGAGTAACCACTTCAATTGACCTTGTTGGCATTCAGAACCATCAGCAAGCTATTGAATTTCCAAGTTTACTCGGTATATATCACTGATTGCTATTATCTGGGATGAAGATTCCGGAGAACAGGCTGGGTTGGTCCGGTGGTGGCACCTTGGCTTTCTCCCCGCCCTTTTCATTATTCTCAGCAGTGGGGGGCAGTCTTACCCTGGGCTTCTTGGTCACGAAGTCGAAGTTGGTTGACAAAGTCGCCTTGGGCGGGTTTATCGCACTTTTTAAGGGCGGGTTTTCGAGGCCCTTCGAAGACGGGGTTTGCGGGGCTGTTATACACATGAGCTAGGTCCTGTCTGGTAATATGACGACTTACTTGTGAAACTAAAGGCACTTGGGGTTAAGCCTCCGTAAAGGGGCTTGGTAGCTTGTGATTTAGGAGTCTTCACTTCTTGCGGACTTGGAAACAGTGACGACTGAGTCTTCGATTTTGCCGCTGTGACTGGCGGGCGAATCTCCTGGAAGCCAATTCGTGGATTTTCCAGCTTTTCAATTGAAGGTGGGCCACTCAATGAAGGCTTTTGGATGTTGAAGGTCCTCAGAGTGCGGAGGCCAGCCTGCAATTTCTCGACCTCACTGGCCAAACGGTCTCTCTCGTCGCTAGTAAAGGATGGCTCGGAGGCTAATTCTCGGACCTGGTCATCGTGCATATTGTTAATTACCTGGCTAGTCAGAATCCGCTGTAGAGGGTCAAGAAGACAATTTTCAATGCCCAGAGTTGCGATGTTGTCGACGAAGGTCACTATAGCAGTCTGCGAGAGAGAAATTAGCACGCGCCCTCAATTTTTCTGAAGCTGGATTTTCTGCTGTTTCGTACTTACATCATAATATGCTTGCATTTGGTCGATGATATCAGCCGCCGCATATTCATCGCGGTGCATTTCCAGGTTGGAAGTTGCTTCTTCGATTGCTTTCATCGAGAATAGCGCTTCCCCCTCAGGCTTATAGCTAATACTAGATTTGAGCTTCGTCTTCAACGAAGATAACTGCCGTTCACTTCGCGCCTTTTGAATCTGTGTGAGGAAGCTCTTGCCCACGGGCAGCGGGTGGCCCCGTTTCGTGTATGCAGTCAGCTCATCGAGCTTGGCCAGCAAGTTTTGCCTCAGCTTGTCCAATGCAGGCTCAATAATCGATCCAGCCAGCAAGGAGAATGTATGATCGTCGGCTGTGTGCTGCATCACAAGTAACGCAAAATACCGCACTGATTCCCAGGTCTTCAAGAGATGCTCTTTGGCAAGTCCTTCCCATGGAAGGGACTGATCGCGAAACAGGCTACCAACGAGGAGCTGGTTGGCGCTGCCTGGCAGCTCGATTCCTCTGTTTTTCCGGGCCTGTTCGGCGACCTCCTCTTCCAGACTTTTCCGAAGGACATAATGTGGTAACTTTCCAGATAAGTAAGGATTTTTCAAGTCGAGTGGCGTGGATTCCTGACCGAACCCAGGAAAACGATCCACGATAATCCGCCGGGACCCTCGAGCGGCCATGGCGTCAGCGAAGTATTCATTCAACTGCCTGATGACAGCCCGGAGTCGCCGGAAATCGTGAATATCACTTATACTCTCAAACGCACCAAAGAACTCATCGGCATAAAGCCCGTGCAACGCTTGCCCTGTGATGCGCTCAAAGCTGGTGCTGATGTTGAGGAGATATCCCCTTTGCTGTTGTCGGGTGGTGCGTGGGGAGCCCAGCTTTGAGAGCGCCTTCTCCCGATCAGCAGCCTTTTCTTTGATGTCGGCTAAAAGCCCGGGTAGGTTACCACGAATTTGAAGAAACAGAATACTGCTGAGGCGCCGCCGGAGACTCTCGATTCCGACACTGTTCCGGGATAGAGATGACCATCGGCCCTGGCTGAAGAATTCCTTCTCTCTTGCATCGCGGGCGTCATCCGGGATATCCCTTGTTTCAAAGGAGCGATTGCGCAGAACGTGCCATCCTAACTGCAATCGAATCTTTTCATTAGAGACAAACTGGAGATACGTCTTCTCCTCCTCTGAGTCGGGTTCAAGAGTATCCGGTTGCGTGATGATTCCGAGCGTGCGCTCCCGCTTTGGATCAAACCGTTCAGCAATGTTCAGAACCTCTTGGAGATGGTAGTCGGCCTTTGCGCTGATGACTGCAAGGATGATGCTTCTTTTATTCTTCATATACTTTTCCGCCAAGGTTCGGACAACCCTGATTCCTTGTAGACTCTGGTCCTGGCTCACAGAGTAATAAAGGCCAGGCAAGTCCACCAAGGTCAATTCTGGCTTATCGGGTCCCAGAATCTCGACCTTGAGAACATCATCACTAAATCCACAATTCGCTGTTTCATTTACGCCCATGTAGCCTTTGGCCTTCTCGATGACGGTTGGTAAATCATTATCGGCTGGGGAAAGCTCCTGTGCAAACTCCTGCAGAATTGCTCGTTCTCGTGCATCCTTACGCGATGGCCCCGGTTCAATGGAGATCTTGATTGTGGGTGTTGGGCTCCGACGCAGGATCACTTCGGTCGCGAATCTCGTACAGATGTTGCTTTTCGCTGGGAAGGACGGAACTCTTTCCACTTGACTGGTTACCGCAGACCACCAGCTGAGGAAGTTCCACGAGGCTGCCAACTCCAATCGCTCGTAACTCGTCGATGCCATCTAGTAGCTTAGACTGTTCTCGTTGCAGCTGATGCAACGCCTCTTCCGCCGGTGGGGTATACATGACAATGTAGCTTTGGTTAAGTCAGATAATGGGACGTGGAGTATTGCGACCAAAGCGAGGTATTACTTCTGTCGAGGCAGGAGATCAGATTAAAAAGGCGATGCCAGCTTCAGGGACATCACCCATCTACTCTAACCGCCCAGTCCCTTGAAACCGAGCAATTATCTGGCACAGCGACCTTGCATTAGCGTCTGTAACGTGATGGGTAGCCGGGCAGTCTGTCTGGTCGGCCGGTCGAACACTTCGGCGCTAATGAGGGCTCGGTGGTTCAGGCGTAGCCAATCGCGCTTTCCAGAGCATAGCATAGCCTCTGTCTACATATCCAAGGGAGGCGGAAAGAGCACTTTTTGCGCATGATGTGAAAACTTAACTCGCACTTACAACCTTTTCTTGCTATGCATCCCAATATCGATCCACAGAAGCACTGCAAAAATTATATGATTTGCCCAGTGGCTGTATTGTATCCCTGCATCAACAAAAGGGAAGCTGGTTCCGAGTCAGAACCACCAATAGCTTCCCCCACTTGGCTCCCTGATCGGCTAAACCAACCTATCACGAGTCTAAGGCTGCCCGTTAACGTCTACGGAGGTGTTGCGGGGGTCTTTATCTTCTCCCCTGCACTGTCTCTTGTGGGAGAATATCTTTTTCATTCATCCTGCAGATGGTCGCGAACCGATGCTTCTGAGTCCTGGTCAGCGCGTCGACTTCTTCTACTGGGTATATTGTCAGCGAATACGGGCATCTGGAGTACTAAATAGCTGGATGCTGTTTCAGACAAGAATTCCTACATCCAATTGCTACCGCAAACCTAAGAATGTAGATCTCTCGCAGATGTTGACATTGGGGATGCTATCGGCTCCGCTCCACCTTTCCGGGCGATTTATGTACATGGGTGCATATGTGTGGGTACGTTCAACCCGAATGCACTGTGAACTGTCTGTGTACTATAGCATCAAGTCTGAGTTTATTATTAGGGTTGTACATCTGATACTACTTGGGGAGGATTGGAGTCACTGACGAGAGATCATCATACTACTAATGGAAGTCAGCTGACAGTCTATTGAGGCACACCATTCGGCACTGAATATATATATCCACGCCATTCAAATTACACCGTGCGAAATTATGAGAGCTAACTGTGAGACTCGAACTTCTGGTAGTACTCAGAGCATCCTTGAAATAGTAGTTCTCGTAGAATTAGCAGTAGTAAGTGATAATTGGTGGTATTATTTGAGGATGTAGTCACCAACACTGTTGGACTCTCGAACAGTAAGTAGCGTTTATGACTTCGTGCTCGTGAACAGCAGACTACTAGTAGGGAGACTCAAACTTGAAGCCTTTGTGTGGGACAGACGACTAAATCCTACTGAAAATGAATCTACAATAGTCATGGATCTCCGATAATACTTAGAAATCCCATGTTCAAGTATTACTCCGTTTAATTGGTATCTTCCGTCCTGAGAATCCAGCCGAGGCAACTGAGTACACGTGACCAATTCCAGCCCCGTGTGGGATATAGCTGACCGTGTCCAAATTCGTATGATACTAACTAAAAACATGGTAGGGAAATTCTAACGGTAATGCTTGTCGTGAGCCTTTCCTTCCGCCACCACCTACGAACTGAATACTTTGCATCTTGCTCAATGTCAAGTCGTGTTGAGGGAAGCGGAAGATGACGGCGGAGTGGGTCCATCCGTGTCCAGTTGTTGGGGATAACCCCGAATCCAAGAATGTTCGGTGGAGCCCACCAGCCGCGGCAGAAGGCAGTAGAAGGCGCAGAACTCCCGGGCGGGTTGCCCGGCGAGGCAAGCGATTATTATTGACATGATAATGCATCCTTGCCGATCGGCGGGCCGCGTCAGAGCCCTGCGCGATGAGGCAGAAGGTCTAGAGCATCTCTTCGAAAGTCTAGAATTCCCTCGAGGGATAAATCTATTAGATGTCATTCATTGTGTTCTGGGGTCCAATCGCGAGGTCGACGGAAGAATGATCATCTCGCGGAGCAATTGATCGGACATCCGGAGTTACGCCGATGCCCCCGGCGAAATGGCATCTTCACGACTTCTCTCCCCTTCTTCATCATCGGGATGGAGAGCAGGCTCGTCCCGCTGCAGACAGTATGCGATCCGACGACATCTACATTCTACGGAAGGTAAGGCGGGTTGCTCGGCGACTTTTATACTCTTAAACCTGTCTGCGAGCCCGACGCTGCGGGATCTTGCTTGGATATCGCCCGAAGTTCTTTGCGTGCAGCTCCGATCTTGTCAAAGTATTCTACAAGTATTAGCTGGCAGTAGAATCTGTTTTCCGTATCCAAGTCACTTTCTTCCAGCCGAACCGGTCTCCATCCATTGCGAGTCTGTGATGTTGGAAGGGTGGTTGACGAGAGTTGTGAATATCTCCTCTCCTCCGCTAGTCCATCGACCAACCTCTGGATCCTTGGGAGATGTTTGCACAAATGATTTAGATAAATAAAGCTGGCTGGGAGGGATTTTCATCCAGGTCATTCCGAGGCGACATGGTTGTCCTGGCACAGTGTGGCGATTGTGAACCGGCCACTGCCTTGGCGTTGTCGGTGTGACGCGGTTTGCTCCGTGTCCATCCCCATCTTCTACCGAATATCTGCGACGTGATGTGGTGGGATAGATTGAGAATCATGTTGAGGTTGCACTGCCGACTGCTTGGTGTGATTTTATCTGGCATTGTGAGGGTCCAACATATTGTTCACATCATCACCCCAGTGATAATTTTCGCCTGCATCGTGCCCCTCAGCCCTGCCACACTGTTCTATTCTTATCGATATCCTGCATTCCAGCTATTCTTAGCACAGTGCATCCCACTGGGCATTGACAGGTTGCTGAGTGCATCGGCAATGAATGGTGACAGATGGTGATGCGGTGTTCAGCTGCACCAGCCAGCACATCCCGACTGACTGCTGCTTGGAATAGAAACATCTGTCGGACTGCCTCTCCAACACTTCACTGCGGTCGCATCCGGGCAATAGTCATAACAACACAACAACTTCTCTCGTGTTCCCAATAACGAAGCCAGGAGGCTTTTATTGCCGATAAATCGCCCTGCCCTCGATTATCCGATTTGATCCGGTGATCCGGCTCGTCCACCTGCCGCGAAGGATGAACAGGATTCACCAGGGCTACTCCATCCCACTGTGGCTCCATGATCGCCATCCCCACCCGCCCTGGGAAACCCCAAGTGATAGACGTGGCGCATCCGAGACATGCATGCAGTGAGCCGTCTCTGTACCCAGCCCCCCCTTCAGCCCCCAAAGCTCCCAGCCTCAGCGCCGCCCAGCCCCCGCCTTCGATCGATTGATTGTAACCTGGGCCGGCAGTGGACTCTCGCTCAACGGCGGGAACTGAGGCAACAAGAAGTAGAGTGAATGAATTGAATAGCAGAGGTAATTATACTAGTGAATACATTCTCTAAGAACCCCAGGGCCAAAGAGAAAAAAGGCAGAGCTTGGAAAGACGGTGAGAGGATTCGCCGCTCTTAAGGTTGCAATGGCATCATGAGAGGGTCCAACTCGGCTGACGGACGGCATCACTTCTGGTCTTGAATGGCAGGGATCGTCGAGGCAAGGCGCCGATCTTTGCCCCCGCGGATGCGCGAAATCCCCAGTTGACGAAAGTCTAGGCTAGAACTAGTAGCCGGTGGTGGTTGTTGCGGGGAGACCGATAACTAGGGCCATTCACGCTGACTGACAGTCAGTTGTCTATAAAAGAGGGCATGTACCTGCTACTTTTCTCTCTATTATCAACAACCGCACTCCTCTAGACCTAATAATAATTCATATAAGTTTATAATACTTCCGACTCTTACCACCATACTACATCGAGAAATACTCTTCATCTCCAATCCTATCTCAACAGCCAAAATGCAATTCACTCTGCTCCTCTCCGCTCTGATGGCAATGGTCATCTCAACCCTGGCCCTCCCTACTGGCGACACTCGTCTCGCTCAACTTCGCCTATTCGGCGAACCCGGCTGCTACAATGAAAATATGGGCGAACTGGGCATTTACCGATCGGCTCTCAACCAATGCAAAACCTTCCCCGGTAATCAAACCATCGAGTCCGTCAGCTTTGAATACAATGTCGCCGGCTGTGGTGGTAAGCTTTGCTCCTCTGCTAAAATTCTAAAATTTCGCGTTCCCTGCTAATTCTATATAAAGTGCAAATCTTCACCGAAGACAACTGCTCAGCCGGTCAGCACAACGTCACCCTGGGACAATGCCTCCAAGGCGACGCCGAATATGTCAGCTACAAGTTGGTGTGCAACTAGGGGCGGACTTCATGATAAACCCTACGATAATGTCAACGCAATCTGAGTGGACGGTGGACAACGAATGATGGAATAATGTATAGAGGGGAGGATTGGCCACTTTCCCCCACAATCTCGGGAAAATAATACTCTTGTGTCTATACGGCTTGATGATAGATGATGGGGTTTTTATGACATGTTACGGTCGCGAATATTGTACCTAATATCTAACTCTACCGATAATATAGAATCATGCTCTAATGGAAGGATTCAATGTGCAGTGAAGACTTTTTTTCTTCAGGCAAGCAGAGGACTTCTTGTCTGGTTGGCACTTGGAAAAAATTCAGTTTTGTGGGTTTCTACGTCTTGCTCTTGATACCCCCGTACGGAAGACAATACAAATCAAGCCAAGATACCTAGCATAAGTCTTGGTTTATCGAATATCGAAATGTGTACCACTGTTAGTACAATCCACGAATACCCCCGAGGTGAGGAGTCTGATGGGCTAGTATGAATATTTCATTTTGTCTACTTCTGAACCCACAATCTACGCTAATGCTGTGACTTTGTATGAACGATAGCCTTGGTTGGAATAGCATGCCATGAGTTGAATGCGATTGTTATAATGACACTGCTGGTTGTGATCGATCTAAATCGAAAATATTCCTTGGATGAGCATACTGAAGGTATGTTCGAAAACACCCCATATATTTCACATTCGTCATAGTGCTCTGACATCAAACGTATCTACAGTTCCGTACAGGTGTCCTGAAAGAGAAGCACAAGCCTAACGCAATACCAAAGACGATAAGGATGTTTCTGGGTACTGTGAAAACTTGTGCCCGATATCCAGAATCCTGGAAGCCAACACAGAAGCATCTTCTGGATTCATCATATTGCTTGACGTCAGCACCTGTAGTTGCCAGGTTTCCTCACCAACGAATGAACGAACGTATAGGTGATTGGTCATATCAACCTGTCCAGTCATTGAGAAATTCGAGACTTCGGCGTCATTGAATGAGAACGAAGGCTTGCTGAGTGCAGGGAAATGGTTTATCCCGCAGCCGAACTCAGTCCCAACAGGCCAGTCGGTGCAGTTGGCGATGATGTCGGGGAGTTCGATGAAGCCGTACCGGGAAATCGCGGTGTAATTGTCGTGTACACTCTGACAAAGCTCACGGACTGTCCAGCCCTGCTGCCATTGCACTCGGATGAGGCTTCGGTTAATACACGGTCCGAGGATACCCTCCACTCCTGTGATGGGTAGATCACGGTTGTTTAGACCCAACATGAAGGTTATGTCCGGGGTATTGATTGTATCTGCCAATATGAACGCGTATGCTGCATTGATAAGCATCGACAACGGGATTCCAGGCAGTGGTGTGGGAAGGTCACCAGTCACGGTCGCTTTTACATCTGCAGCGGTCTCATCTCCCCGCAAGGTCGTGTTTGGCAAAGTAGTCAAACGAGCGCCCTGCAGATAGTTTTTCCAGAAACCAAGCGAATCTGGCGAGCGGAGGCGTGCACAACCATATATGTAATCTGCGAAGGGGGCTGCAATGGGTAGAGAGGGCAAGCGGTCATTGTAAGCCGACCGCATATCGGCGAAGAGGAGCGGAAGCGAATACCCGTCGTATTGAGCATGAGACAGCCATATAGAAAATGAGTGGTCTCTCGGTGACCGAGAAACGAGCTCAAACTTTGTGGGTAGCTTTGAGAACATAGGTGATGGCCCAGAGTGAGTCTCATCAGAACAGCCACCGGCGATTGGCTTGTGCGTAAATGGTATGTCGGTAGCTCGTAAAACAACCTGAACATCTTTCCCTTCGAGTTTGGTGAAGGCAGTGCGTAAGATACTATGCCTTTGTGCCACCGCAAGACATGCTGTTCTCAAGTCACCCACGTTAATGCTGCCGTGGATATCGAAGCTTATGGAGACTGGGGTCCACCCAGCCAGCATCCAGGATTGCACGTCCGTCGCGGGTACTATATCCATCACATCAGTAGCACTCAGTCCCATTTTGACGAGCTCGCGGGAAACATTCGATGAGATACTGCCACCAATGAGTGAAAATGGCGCGGAGTCAGGAGTCATATTGCGAAAGTTGACTCCTTCATGTAAATCTGCCCGGGCTCTAATCTTTGCCGCCAGGCCGGTAACTGTCGGACACTCAAAAATATCACCGACCGTCAGGGATGTATGGAGGTCTTGGTTGATTCCATTGACTAACTTTATCGCAGTCAGAGAGTGCCCTCCGTGGTCAAAAAAGCTCTCAGAAATGCCGATATCTTTGCCAAGCACCTTCGTGAATCTGGCAAGCAATGCTCGTTCCACATCATCCTGCGGGTCTGCTCTGGCTGTCATAGTGTTATGGAATGCAGAGACAGTGACCATGTTTGCTAGAGCCCTGCGGTCAACCTTCCCATTGCTGTTGACAGGTATCTGCTCCAATACCCTGACCATTCTAGGAACCATATACGGCGGTAATGTCTTTTCCAGGGTCTTCCGTACCCACTTCCCTATGTCTCGATTAGACGCCTGTTGTAGTGGGTTGTTGCTCAATTGCCGAACAGACCGTCCATAGTGGTCAGTTGGGAACCGGAACAGCACCCTTGACCCAGTGCGATCAGGCTGAATGCGGTGGAAAATGGCATCCAGCCCACCGCGTTGTGTATGCTGTCGGGCCCAGCTAATTTCGACGTGGAAGCCAGACTGCTTCCCCAGCCTCATTAGATCGAGTGGTGAGAGGGACGGAATGCGCTTGGCCATTTCATTGAGCGACTCAACCCAGCCAGGTCCCCCAACCCGTTGGGCCAAGCGACCCCTTAACAGGTCTACTATAAGTCTCTCCAGGAGAGTCTTCCTGTAAGGGATATTGCTTATTGCGACCACAGATGTATCATTAGTTTGCTCCTGCAAATATTCCAAGAGAGACGCGTGGTTCATCTTCTGCGCTATAAAGTCAAGCCATTGACGCTCTTCCACGTCGTGAATGTTCCGCGGCTGGGCCTGTTGATGCTTCGTGTGTAGGACGGCAGCATAGCGATAACAACTGAGCTCGTTGGTGGCTACCATACGCTTGGGTAGGATTTCCACATGCTCAATAAGCTTCGGGAAGCGACTTGGCAGGGAGGTGAAGAAGGCTGGGTGTATTAAGAGCTCCTCCTCCAAGTGAACGGTTTCCGCCATCTGTGATCGAATATCGTCTATGGTGGGCAATCTCGGCGTACTATTGGCCAAGGCCTTGCTCACTTGAAATTCCTCGTACAGCGCATATGACCGTACATCACCAAGAAAGATGCGTTTGGCCCCTTGCAAGCACACAAGGTCCTCGATAACCTTGAGCAGATAATCAGTGGATGGAAAATACTGCGCCACAGAGTTGATGACGGCCACATCGACAGAGCCAGATCTGTCAAGCTGGGTGATATTGTCGGCTATCCCTTTTTGCAACCGGACCTTTCCTTGTAGACCAGGAATGGTTGTGACTGATGCTTGGACAAAATCGACTGCCGTGCCTGATGGCTCAAGCGCAGTATAGCTCTCTAGCCCCGCGATGATATTGAACAGAATCATGCCAGTGCCTGTCCCGACCTCAAAGACATGGCCAGCTGAGCCCCCATTGAGAAGGGCACCAACAGTGTCGTCTAGCCATTCATTCATCTCCGCATTCTCAATCAACTCACCGGTATACATTGACTTCCACCCGACAAAGTCCCTTCCAAGATTACTGGATCGAAGACGGGAAAGACCATATATGCTTGTATCGAAGAGATCTTCCCAGGCGTTTACTTTCTGGGCCCCGTCCTGGATCTCTAAATCTCCGGCCAAGTGCAAGTCCTCGCCTTCACGAAGTGTGATGAAACTGACCAACTCTGAATCTGCAGCTTTTTCTTGTCGAATAATTGTAACAGCATGCTTGATAAAGCCGTAAGCGAGCATAGACTGATCGATCTCATCCAGCTCCACGCGATGGCCACGTATTTTCACCTGGTGATCCATGCGACCAAGGTATTCAAGCTGGCCATCAGTGGGCCGATATCGAGCAAGATCCCCGGTCCGGTAGGCCCGCATTGATGGCTGCCCGGGGAGATCCAACATCACAAAACGATCAGCATCGAGCCGTGAGTCAATATACCCTTTAGCCAACCCATCTCCAGTAACGACGAGCTCGCCCATTATTCCCACAGGAACCAGCTGATTTCTCGGATCCATCACGTAGGCACCAGAATTGCTCACAGGTGCACCTATAGGAACACGATGGGGGTAGACCTCTTTATCCGTAACGCTATAGGTGGTGCTCAGTACCCCGTTTTCAGTCGGCCCATAAGCATTTATCAGCTCCCTTCGCACCAACGCGCGGGCTTTCATAGCATCCAATGGATCCAGACGGTCTCCTGCGGCAAACAGGATGTCCAACTGACTGATAATGGACGGGGATTCAATCAAGCACTGTTTAAGCATAGCTGGCGTTATCATGGCCACTTGGATTCTCTCCCGAACGAAGGTCTGAGCGAGTGACCTGTAGTCGAGTACAGTCATAGGGTCGATGCAGACCAATGTTCCTCCGTTGAGGAGTGCTGTGTATATCTCCCACACCGACATGTCGAAAGCAAGATTGCTCATATGTGCTATGTTTCCAGCAGCAGAGTCAGGACTGATGATACTAGTACACTGTGTCAACCTGACTATTGCCTTGTGTGGCATTATAACTCCCTTGGGTATTCCCGTGGAGCCAGATGTATACACAACGTATGCGGCACTGTCGGCCCGGGGCATGCTAGTCCTCGCCGCATGCGGACTAGGCTTTTCAGGTTGGGTCATTGTAGCAAAAATATCTGAAATAGAGATAAAGTGAAGATTGCTCAGACTCATACTAGGGGGCTCAATGTGACTGCCCCGAAGGACCAGTTCGCAGCTTTGAGTGGATGACAAGATGGTTTCCAGGCGACTGACTGGGTATTTTACATCTAGCGGTAAGTAGACGAGATTGGCCTTCAAGATTCCCAAAAATGCGATTATTACCTCGCATCCCCTGTCTGCCAAGACCCCAATCACGGTTTCTGGTGCCAGCGACCGGTCAGTCAGAAAAAGGGCAACACGGTCTGATTCCAAGTCCAGCTCATGGTAGGTGAGCTGCGTGGAGCAGTCTTTGACAGCGACTTTGCTGGGGCAGCATCTGACTCGCCGCTGAAACACATCGACTATACTGGACTCTCGTGGATAATCCGTTTTGTGGATTTCAAGGAGGCCATTCTTCTCCAGACTGGATTTGGCGTCGGTAAATGGCATCAAATCAATAGGCGTAGTAGGTCGAGTTAGGCCGTGTTCAAGGATGTCAATAAAAGCCAAATGAAGCATGTTTATGGTCTCAGGGTAGAACAGGTCGAGGGAAAAGAGGATCTCCCCTCGAAAACTGTCCTCTGCCTGGTAAAAGTGGCATTCCAAGTCAAATCTGGAGGCCGATGACAGAGTCACCCGTTGAGCCTCCACACCTTCAATGGCTAACTTGCCCAAGTCATATTGGGAGTGGACAGCGAAGACCATTTGGACAAGTGGGTTTCGGGAAAGGTCACGCTCTTCCGTTAGCCTTGACACAAGTTTCTCGAAAGGGACATCTTGGTTGTTAAATGCCATGCTCGATTTTTTCTGAATCTGCCGAACCAGGTGATAGAAGGTCGTATCCGCATGCTCAACCTTCGTGCGGATACATTGCAGATTGACGAAGAACCCAATGAGTGGCTCCAATTCTTGATGATGCCGGCCGGCGAATGGCGTGCCAATCGTCACATCCTCAGCACCGGTAAGACGATATTGCGTCGCCCTGAAAGCCGCAAGCAGCACAGTGTAAGCGGTGACCCGGTGAGCTTTGCAGAAGAGCTGTAGTTTCCTGTAAAGTGCCCCACGAATATCAACCGTTTGAAGTCCAGCGTCACCGGAGAGGATCGAGGGACGTGGCTTGTCACAGAGAAGTTCAGCTGGCTTGCTTCCTTCAAGTTCCCCAACCCAGTAATCTACTTGTGATTGATCCTTATCTTCCTGCTGCCGTTGCCAAACTGAAAAGTCACGATAATTTGTTGGGAGCGGGTCAATTTGGGAGAAAAGTGGGAGTCCCCGTATTGCCGCAGAGTAGAAGATATCAAGCTCCTTCTGAAGAAGATCCAGCGACCACCCGTCGGAGATGATGTGATGCATGACAACCGATAATATATGATCATCGGGTCGCAGGCGAAATACTAGAGGCCTCCACCCTGCCTCGACTTCTAGGTTGAAGGCAGTGCGTTGTTCCTTTCGCAAAGCATCCCAGATGTTCTGGTTGTTGCTGATGGCCATATCAATTATCTTAATCCCCTTGGGCTGGAAAGGATGAACCACTTGTACTCCAATTCCATCGTGGCCCTTGAACGTCGTGCGGAGAGGCTCATGGCGCTCTACTATTGCATTCAAGGCTGCCTCCAGCGCAGAAAGGTTGATCTGGCCGCGAAGTCGTGTGGCAAATGGCAGAACATACCATGTTGAGCCGGGATGCAATTGGTCCAGAAACCATAAGCGGCCCTGTGCAAACGACTGTACCACCGGGCCATTATAAGGGGTCTTCGATATTGGCGAAGGCCCTTTACACTGCGATTGAAGCCACTTTGCGAGTGTAGCTATCGTTGGGAACTGGAAAACCTCTTGGACCGTGACATTTATGCCGAGGCGTCGATTAACATGGTCAACGAACTTGGCACCCGTCGTAGAATCAAGATGGTCAATGAAACGGTCTGTACTACTGATGTTGATGCCCAGTACATTGATGAAATCTTCACAGAGGACAGATTCGCTGGCTGGCTGGGAGGACTGTTTGATAAACTGCTCTTCACCGACTGACGTTGTAGGTGACGCGTTATTCCTATTGTACCCATCCAGTTGCGAGGCTAGCTTGGCCACCGTTTGCTGCTCTAGAATATCTTGCATCGTCAATCTGTAGTTCATCTGTCGAAAACGATTGGCAAGTCCCATGGCGGTGATAGAGTCCCCTCCAAGTTGTATGACACTATGGTTTATGCCAAAGGAAGATGGGTCAATATGCATAGTTTCCGCGAAGAGCTGATGAAGTTTGATTTCCAGTTCTGTCACTGGTGCCACGGTAGGAGAGGCCGGTATTTGATCGTTCTGGAGATCTTGGCGACTAGAGGCAGAAATAATATGACGGAGTGCTTTTCGGTCAGTCTTGCCAGTTCTGGTCAATGGAACAGATTCGAGTGGGACATATATGCTCGGCCACATATGATCGGGCAATGTCTTCTCCAGGCTCTCTTTGATCGCATCCACAGATGCGTGGAAGTGTAGCAACAGAGCTTCCTGGTCCTGGGAGTACAAGAACGCAACCACAATCGGTGTCTCGCTGCCCTTCGGGCTAGCAACTTCCGCTATGACCTTCTCTATCGATGGGCTAATCTGCTGGATTTGATACTCGATTTCCCCCAGATCGAGCCTTTTTCCGCGGATCTTCACCTGGGTACTTTTGCGGCCGACGTATCTGATCTTACCATCGGCGTAAAACTGGGCCAAGTCGGTCGTTTTGTAAAATCGCGCCCCGGGGTATGCTCCAGAGCCTATCATTTGAAGCCAGGCAGGGGCATCAACAAAGTTAGCTGCCGTTTGGGAGTCATTGTTGAGATACCCTTGTGCCAGCCCTGGACTCTCAATCAGCACTTCACCCACGGCACCGACAGGGGCCAGTCGATTGTGATCTGTGGGATCTACCAGCCAAAGATTTCCTGTTGGCGAAGGACCAATGCATTTGATATCGATCTGGGAACGAATGGGATGAGAGGCACATAAACCCACCCATTCTGTGGATCCGTATACTAAGATCACTTCTACCTCGTCTGCCAACTTGCGGAACAAATCATTACGCATCGGCTCTCCAATTAGGGCGAGTGTCTTCAATGACTCCAGGGGTGTGGCGAGGGATAATGCTGCCGAGGGAGTAAGCACCGCCCAGCTGACCCGCATCGAGTCCATCGCGCTATTAAGACCGTTCAGGCGATCTTCCTTCGACGGGATGCAAATCGTGGCGCCCACCGCCAGGGAACAGTGCACCTCCAGTAGAGACACTGCAAAGCCGTGTGAGGCAAATTGCAATACCCTACTCTGGGCTGTAATTCTCAGTGCCTGTGAGTGGTACTTCGAGTTTCCCAACGCCCCATGGCAGACAACGCAACCTTTGGGCCTTCCAGTACTACCGGATGTAAATAACACATACGCCTTGGTGTCGGGGGTAATGTCTGGCCACTTGAAATCCGCCTTAACAGGTGGCAGCCTCAGTGTTGTTGTTGCGGATAGGGTAACGACTACGCCAACTAGACTTGATAACACCGGTTCAAGGTCCGGAGATGAAATCCCGAATGTAGCGTTTACCTGTGTAATGATGTCCTCCAGTCTCTTGAATGGTTGGGTTGAGTCAAGGGGCACATAAGTGCCACCGGCCTTCATGATAGCGATTTCTGCCACGGTCATCCACTGAGAGTTGGTCATCATCATGGGAACCATGCATTGTGGCCCAATACCCAAGCCTTGAAGATAGCTGGCCCACCGCGTTGTCAGGGAGTCAAACTCAGAGTACGATAGCACCCCATCCCACGCACAGATGACTGGGTGATGCGGACGCTCGCACGCGTGTTGATGGACCTGCTCAATCAAAGATACCGCTGGACCCCGGTTATCTTTACGGTTCCACCGTAGAACATGGTCGCGATTCGATGAGCTGAATAGGCTCAGGTCCATGATGCGTCTATGACTGTCGGCCAAAATTTCCTGTATGACCTGCAAGACGGTGGACGAGATGTTTTCGGCGAGGCATGGAGAAAGGGTTGAACTTTTGTGGACTAGCGATAGTCTGACCAAAGCTGACACCTCGTCTACCTCACCCACCAGCGCAATGCTATAGTTCCACTTCTCGGCCTAGAGTTGCCCATTAGCGCCCAAAAGTTCCCAATCCGCTTCAATCAGAGCGAATGTCATAACTTACCTCTATCAGTAATTCTGATCGATCAGACTCGGAAATCTCTCGAATCAGGGCAATGGCGGTATTATGAGCTGGGGGGCACTCATCACAGAGATTCCCTGATTCTGTACCGATATCCGACTCGAGCAGCTTCATCACTGAAATATCAGGTAGTATGCCTGACTGGATGACTTTCTCCGGGCCTGAAGCCCGGTGTGGGGGGCTATCGCGATAGTCCCGATAACCAATGCATATACGGTCAATTTCCAGAAATGGCCACATGACAATCAACCAGACAGTCTTAATGAACAGCGGAATTGCAGTCCCAGTGTCGCGGCAGAACTTTTCGATTTCCGTAACGGGCAAAGTGAGAACATCTTGCACCCTGACTGTGCATTCTGCCTCTACACCATCATTAAGACTTGGGAAATTGCCCCCGATTTCCCCTTGGTTCGCCATTGCGAGTGTTCAAATAAAGAAGGTCGAAATTTAAACTTGGATAATAAGGTCCAGCCAGCTCACGATGCAACGTCACCACGCAAGAGATCGCCTTCGGTGTGCTTGTAGACCGCGCCGTGATCAGATGAAACGATCTTGGGGATCAGAGACTGTTGGGACTGGGTACCGAGTAAATCTTATACCCATTTCTGACTGTGAGAGACTCTCATTACATCCCGAAACCGGAGCATATCTTCGTGTCATACCGTACAGTCTGACTGATCCGTCATATCAAATGTTCTACACCGTGCAGCTGCTGCTAATAGTACCACCCTGCGCATTGTATCTCGCATTTGACAGAAGCACTTGAATCACGTTGCTTCTTTGGCGGGCACACCGCTATCATCTCATGTGGGCTCTACTTGTCCAGTAAATGTACTGAAATGGTCGTTGGCACAGACGGTTGCCACGGTGAATACTGCTGATCTGTTAATCACCTCTCTTCTGGTACTCCTGATCTCTGCCTCTATCACTGTTGGTAGTTGCAGTATTTCAACTCCATGGTATGATTCCCACCTAGTTCTGGGTAAATGACGTTGTAGGGAACTGAGTAACTACCCCGATGAACAAGTAGATCTGCAGGAGGAAGAAGGAATTGATTGGGGTGGCCTCAGGCCACGTGGCCACCGCCCTTCCACACCGCAAACAACCACGAAGTCAAATCATGTCATACCTCCAACACGGCTATATGTCAGGAAAACTTTGAATGCCTGGTCAAATCTGCCTTTTCCCTAGGGGGGCTTACCTTGGTCCTCATCGGACAATGTGTGTCCATATTGCATTGTAGTCATGCGTTTACTACTAACACAACCTTACCAACTGCCGGGAGCGAGCCTGACACTCCATTGAACATCCTGACCACGTTCAAAGCAGGCGAGAAGTCTGTCGATGTGCAAGCAAACGGTGCGTTCTCCCTGAAAACGAAATCAAAATTCATAAACATAGCATCGAGCAGAACGAAAGAGGGGAGGAAAGAAAGAAGTTACTTACTCACTTTACAACGAGCTATGGCCAAGGGCTTCATGTTATCTGTAGGCGTACAGTTGCTGAACGCATGAAAAGAAGCGACCGAAGCTAACAAAGGAATATAGTACTCTCATGACTGCGTAATGAACGCACAAAAGCCAAGATATCCGATCCGGCATTGGGAAACCACAGTTCAAACGGGCTTTGGTTGTGTCGGGAACCTCCAGCAACGCACTCGAACTGATTTCACTTACTGACTATACCCGTGACTGGTTTTTGTTACTTGAGATGTACGTCAGATTGAACTCGGTGTCTCGCTATTGGCTTCTTTGATTCCTTAAGCAGAGCTGAAAGAGTAACTTACGCTTCGGTGCTGCTTTGGGATACGCTATGCTGACTGGTCAGATCCTAATATCTGTCAGATTTGGCTGGCAGGCTGACTTTATGGAGGATCATCAGTCGGATACATTTGCCGACGCCGCAGACCTTGATCGGCGTCGAAATTCGCCATTTTAGGTTCAGCATACTGCATGTAACTTACATCAGTTGTAAAACTCAACCCTTCGCTGAAACCCAATGCCTTTAATCGGACTTGACTGGGCTTTTCCCCTTCCTCTTAATCATCGAACCTACGTCCCTTTGCCCTTCCAAGATGCTACAGAGATCTCTGCATACATGTGCCCAATGAATAGGCTTCTCAAGGTGTAGTATCTTTCGGGAAGTATACAGTGAGCCATGCCGATGCAATCATGACGCTGCAAGCTTTGGGTATTCGGGCTCCTCTTGTTCGAGGAATATGTTTTGGAAATGATTGTTCAGAATAATAGGCGCCCTGACAGTCAAAGAATCTCTCAACCATTTTTTTTCGGGGATTCGATTTCACCCCGGATTCTTCTGTTAAGTAAGATATATAGATTATTTGTGGCGTCTGAAGATATATATTGTTTGGATATCCTTAGTAGCTTCCAGTTGTTCGGTTGCGACTTGGCTTGGAATTGATGATAAACTTTACACTTTTCAATCCCTGATACGATCAGACGCGGAGTAGACCAATGTTTATTCACTGGCTTCCGGTGCCACAAGACCATTCAGGAAACTAAGTTATGGGTAGGACCTACCATAATCTCGCATTCCTGTAATCCATGAATACTTCATTCAGATTATTCCCTATCAATAACCTTTCAAGACCTCTACAGAATCCTACTTTTCTTTTGCCTCTTGTCATCGTTCTTGGCCTGCTGATGTTTCTGTTGGCTGTGAGAGCGGTGTGTTCCAACAGCCACTGAACACCACCTGTAGCAATTCTCCTGTTCCAGTCAATTCAGTGTCACAGACAGCCATTCTTTACAAATAAGTATTAAATACTGATGTTTGATTATTAGAGTGTATATAGTAGCGAGCCGGATTTGGCCCTTGACATTAGTTCAGTAGATAGCAGATACAGCCGCCCCTATGATAAGATCCCCGTTCAAGCATGTTTTCCCAATACGGGTCTCTGTAATCCGGAACACATTATTGACGCCTTCACCTCACAACCAGTTCAACAGCTTCTTGAAGAAAAGCCATTGTAATTAATCATTTATTCCGATCGCCGCTTGCAGGTCACCGAATACTCGGTCGCCATCATGATAGCCGGCTCGGAATTGCCATTCTCTTGCTTAGTTTCCTCGTGCAGACTCTCAACATCCTGGGTACTCTCACCCGCGTGGGTTCCTTTGATCGTACTGAGGTAGTCCCAGTTGCGAATGACCTTCTTGCGCGCCGCACCGAATGTATCCTTGGCATCGGCAGGGCGGATGGGCCTGACTCCACTGCTGGCATGGCTGCCAAAAACAGTAGGGAAGAACCGAATGAGTAGAGGCCGCATCACCGGCAGGCACGAACAAATGATACCCACGTTGATCTCCACCATTCTGTGTTTACGTGTCAGCTGAGTATCCAAATGAGAGTCGAAAAGGTACGAATACTTACGCCCATTTGGCTAAAGTCACCTTGTACCAGGTAAGATCCATACTAGAGACAAATGGCATCATGGTCACAATCCGGATGATTGCAATCACACACGCGCTGTTTACGAAATCACCATATTAGCTTAACCAGGGACAGTGATGACCATACGTGAGACACTTACAAGGAACCCATCATCAGCACTATCATCAATAGCACCCGCTGCTTGAGAGTAGTCTGAAGAGACCAGCAGAGTCGAATGGGTAGTGCCAAGGTGATAAGATCGGAGAACAGGTTGAAAGCCGCATTGGCGTAGACAAAGGAAAGTTGGTCAACACATTTGGCGGTCGGCATTAGGGTCACATCCCAACTAGCCTGCACCGGTATACAGCCGAGGGTAAAGACCAGCAAACTGATGATATTGTACAAGGCAACGAAGACCATGATGCCGTATGTCATTTGCCGGAACCGCTTTTCGGGACTCAAGCGCAGGTAGAACAACAAGATGGACGTTTTGACCAGCCAGATTCCGACAACGAAGATGTCCTCGGCCGCAAGATCATACTGCAATCATTAGTGGCGGCCCGGTATGTGTGGGATGCGCCTGTGAAACGTACCTGTTTGAAAGGCTTGATCTTACTGAGGTATAAGTCCCAAATGTGGACCCCATATCCATTCCTGATGTCTGCGCATATCAGTAACGCCATTACCGTACATCTTAGTCTTGATACATACTGAGCATGCACAAGATGGCAAACAACCACGCGCACACTTGTGCCCAGATACAGAACCCTGCGAGCCCATCAGTCGGGTGTCCTCATGATATGCTTGGGATGGGCACTCACAATCATCAACTCCGATGGTCTTCTGGAGCTTACCACGGGTGTACAAGCGGAGGATCAAGACGGCCGTGCCTGTGAGGCAGAGGGCGATATTGAGAGAATAGATCTGATAGTTCTGGTTCGGTGGGTTCACAAAGTTGGGCGTCACGCCATCGGGAGGCGGGGAGGCGGGGATCTGGTTGAGGTCGACCGACGGCATGGTGGGAGAGGCTTGTCTTTGCGCGTCCGTGAGAGAGCTGGTCCTGATCAAAAGCGAAGATTGCAAAGGACGCTGGCTGTCGCTTCGCTACTTATCCTTCTTGTTCATGGTGCTCTCCTCCAACTTGCCCTGGCTCGAGCGCGGAGGAATGGACTCGTTCGTATGCAGGCCGGAGCGACTACCGAGAGACCATTCTCACCTGCATCGTATAGTTTGCGATCTCCGGGGAACAGAGAATCACCGTCACTATCCCATTGAGGAGACGCCACTGGCCATCAGATTTCCTAATCTGGCGGGAACGAATATGGGAGAAAGCTTCCTGTGTACCTGGATCGTGTGACAACGAGACTAGTCTGGGATACAATGGTCCGATTATCCCTGTCAGGGGCATTGTCAGAGATCCCGGATGCGGCATAAGTTGCATCTGTCAGATGCAGGGGTTGATGGAAATCTGGGCGGAACATGACAGGTTCGAAGACCCTGGGGTTGCCCCAAGAATCTGCCGGGAGATATCACAAAGCCAGGCTGACTGGTTCGACGGTCGTACATAATATGGTGGAGCCGGACAAGGAGGGGAAATTGAGCTGAGGTGGGAATGGGGAGGGGGTGAACGGATGATCGGCGGAGAAAGTGAGTTGAGTGGGTTGGGAATATAGTCTAGTCGAGCTGCTATCCGGGATGATGGGGGAGAACAGTGGTCGAACGGAATGTATGTGAGGCGAGCACAGGCCCTGGCCTGGTCCATCCACAGCAAAGTACAGAGGCCCGTCCACCAACTATGATCCTTCGTCTCTACCTTGAATCCGGATTCTGTCATACCTATTGGAGGGTCACCTCGTATTCCTGTCGGCTGTTTCCCCGACTTGGCTGAGGAAGCTGGACGTATCGGCTTGTGGCGCACCGGCGCTGCCTGGACGCCGTCTGGCGCTATCGCTGCAGGTCGCGTTGCCTATCCACTCGCTTCCCGCCAATCAACCTGGCAAGATCCCAATGTCCCCCCTGATGTT